TCGCTAATCTTTTCCTCGTTTAACTTTGTTTCCTGGAGTAGCGCTATCTGAATGTGATTCTGATGGAGCCATGTCCGTAGTCTTGCTTTCTTCCTTCTGCCGCTGTTGTCACCAATACATTTAAGATTCCAAGTGGCAAGGCGGGTTTTACTGAGGGATGGCATCGGCCATATCCTCAGTCCTCTGTTGGATAGACTGTTGATGAGTTGTATCTGCGCTCGGAGGAACTTCCTCCTCCCAAGGTTTGGCCAGCAAGTCCTTGAGAATTTTGGAGGAGAAATTCCTGGTTGCAGTCAGTTGTTTATGGAGGTCAACGAGGTGCTCACCTCCAATTCCTTCTGTTATGCATACCATGTTGATATCTTTGTTGTTCGCAGATTTGAACAATTCCGTCGGGAGCCAATGGAGACCGCTGTCCACGTCAGCAACCATAGGATTGCAAGTGGGGCGGGCTCCAATCAGATAGCAATAAATGAAAGCCATCTTAGCTGACTTGGTAGGGAATGGGCCAAGCCGCTGCATACTGTAACCGCTCATCAAACGGACCTGATACCTACCCATCAAGTATTCCGAAACCAACTTCAAAGCGACTGAAGAAGAAGGGATATCATCCAGTTCCCAAACGGGGAGCGACAAAGGACCCTGACCATTGGGTAGAATCATCCATTCCAGCGAAGTAGGAGACTCTCTCAAGATGATGGGGCATAAAATATTCGCGAATATAACTTGGTTGTGTACTTGATCTTAGGAAATCGTTCGAGTCGGTTGAGGCTCTGATGCAGAAGTCGGAGAAGTGGTGGATTGTGGACCTATCCCTTGGGCTAAGGACAATTCTGGATTCAAATTTGATGTTTTTTCGAAAGATGAAACCAGGTTCGACACACGGTTCGATGAGCTTGGCAAGGAGGAAGCTTTGCTTTGTCCTGCCGCTTCAGTGGTTGGAACCTCTCTCCTACTGTATTTCGTGGGAGAGACAGGGGTTGTTCCTTCTACCGTGATAGCGCCCATCCCCAGTGCTCGCGGTGAGTGAGGACCCTCAGGAATCACCAAGGGGTACATCTGCGACGCTCCAGACTGAGCTACTGATCGCTGACCCTGATTCCCTCCTTTATTGCCAGCATTCAAGTTCGATCGACCCCTTCCTTGGGTAACCAAAGAAGGCGGTTTCCTTGCTGGGGCCTTGTGTCGTACGTTTCCTGTGGGTCTGGAAGTCGACGTACCACCAGTAATTCCTCCCGAAGCAACCGTCGGTCGATTTACCCTACCACCACCCCATTCCAGAGGTGGGGAGGTTCTGATGGGGGTGGTAGTATTCGAACCGTCAGGTTGGATAAACGGCGGAGCGGGCAGGGGGGGAAACGGAGAAGCGTGAAACTCCCTCGATCGCTATAGATGATCAGAGGGTAAAACTGGTGGGAAGCCCTGCCGAGATTGTACATTTGAGTGTCGTTGTCCATGGTAACTACCCTGTTCTGGTCCAGGTTGCGGCGGGGTGCCACCTCCCTGCATAGGAACAGCTGCATCGGCATTCGGAATGCCATCCGCGTTTGCCATATCCTGATGTGGAGCGGGGTGATGAGTATCGTTCCTTACCTCCGTCCTACCTTGGTTATGCATATTCGGTCGAGAGTTATAGGGATCACGACCCATACTCGAACCGCTCGAGACGTGAGACCTTGCTGGAGGGTGAGCATCCTGCCCGAAATCCTCATTGGAGGTGCACTCGTCTGTCCAGTGACCGTACCAACGACAGTTTCTACAGCAAGGTGTATTGCTATCGACTAGTTCTGCTGAAAGCGTGTCCAAACCTACTCTTAATGAGAGTACGGGTTTGAATCTCGTTTCACAGGATCTATACAAGCCAAACTTTGCATTTACTAAATGCGGCATGGTTTCATCTTCGACGGGCTCGAATTCTTTCACTATGGGACCAATGGATTTGGAGATCATAGTGCGTATACAAGACAGGAGAAAAAGAGGGAATCGAACGGCCATCACCCAATAATTTTCGACTCTCTCCTTTTCTCTCTCTGCTTCCCATTCTTTCTTCGGCAGCCAATTGCGAATGATGACTTTATATTTCTGCTTATCCAGCGTGAATTGGATTTCAGGTTTAGTACCGAGTATGGCCACCTTTGCTTCCGTCGATCTAGCAGTGTAGGAAATCATTGATTTGCCTTCCACATGCGTTGATCCACGGCCTAAGGCTTTCAACTCGGTGCTCAAGCGCCCGTCCTCCAGACTCCTGACAAAACGTAGTTTTTCAGGATTACTCATTTTTTTGCTTTTCCTCCGAAAATAACAACCAGAGTATGGCCTTTCGACCATTGTCGCTGGATACGGTTAAAATCATCACTAACAATGCCCGTAATAGCATCCTCTTCAGTCAACACTTAGACATAACGGTCTAGGTCAGGGACAATACCTTCGATGAAACACTGTTGAAGCAGACCCCTGATGCGCTATTCCTCTTCGGCGTCGATGCGAATCTCTGTCTCATCTTCTTGTCCTTCGTGTGGAGCGTCTTCCATGGTCGTAGACTTGGGAGTTACTATAAAACGTAAACTCCAGGAGTAGGGAGCGAGAGCCCAAATTGGAAAAACAAAGATTCGTCAAAGACTGAGGGCAGATCAAACCCGTATGATTCGTCTGTTCTTCTCGGGACTTGCTAAAAATGGAAAGGACTGATGAAATCGGACCTTGAGAACACGTATCAAAAGTGAAAGCACGGGAAATCCTCTTCGAAATGGACAAGGCATAAATTCAATGTCGAGAAATGATGATAAGTAGTGGATGGCTAGGAGGGCAAACTTCCAAGGAGAAATAGCCGAGAGAAGAAGTAAAAAGTCGAGGAATGAGTGGCTAGGATCACGAGGCGTGTTGAGTCTATCTTCATTCTAGAGACCTGGTAGGCAAAGCCTACCTAGTCTCGGTAATTCTGAATAATCTGTGTGGGACATCTCCCCGGTCGCCGCACACCATACCCGGGCTCTATGGCGAGTGAGGTTACTGGAAGTTCCAGAAGGTGTTCCCCTGTTTTCCACCATAGCTCGGTGAAAAAGTTAGGGTTAGCTTAGTTACCTTGATTCGGTAACTCGGAATTAGCGCAGGCGCAACAGCGCCGCCGAGAATTCCTTCCGGTCCTATTTATTTAGTTTTTTGTTTATTAATTAGTTTTTAATTATTATTATTTTTTTTAATTTTAATTTTATTTTTTATTTTTATTTTTATTTTTATTTTATTTTTTTCCTAGAGTGTGTGTGTGTGTGTGTGTGTGTGTGTGTGTGTGTGTGTGTGTGTGTGTGTGTGTCCATGCTCATCGCCAAATTTCTGATATGCCCCGGTAGCATCTCTCCCGGGGTCAGGGGAAAGACTGCGAGTGTCAACAATGGCCACAGGGGCTTGCTGGAAAGATGGACGGTACCAATAAGGGCATATGGGAAATTTTTGTGCTGGTTCTCAACGGCCATCCGGTAGGGTCATACCGAAAATTTGGTACTGGTACCGGTAGGGGCATATGAAACATGTTTCAGGTCCAAATGATGCCAGGGGGCTTCTGGAAACACCATTCGTCGTCAGAGGGGCACGACAAGGTAGGTCGGCCATCAGAGGGGCACGCCGCAAATAAACGCAAAGTTCAGGGGCATTTCAAAAATTTTCCCTTAAAAAAAAAAGAAAAAAAGGGCGACGACCATGAGATATCACCATTAAGCTGACCGGCCCCAGGCAATTCAGAAATAGTTGGTTTTACAACTCTACTAATCAAGTTCCATCATCTAGGGCCTAGTTGCACTACTCGCCATCCGTCACATTTCGTGGCGGATGCGTGGAGAGTGAAAAAACTGAGAATCGCGTCGAACTCGAGGCCTGGTTGCACTTACTCGCCACTATATTTCTTCTACAGAAAAGTTAAAATTTTTTGTCTTGTCTACCTGATGTCGACTCGTGAAGCCCTGCACTCTCCAGAAAGCTGTTTTGTGGAGAGGTCCAAGGACCACTCTCCACAAACCGCCGTGCACAGGCGGGGAAACCGAATTCACTCTCCACAACTTGTGTCAACGGTGTGGCGAGCCATCTGACACATTTTGCATTCGTCAAGTTTGGCAAGTAAGTGCAACCAGGCGCCTACTCTCCAAACTTGGCGTATGGCGAGTAGGGGCCTAGTAGTGCAACTAGGCCCCTAGATTCGAACACGGGTCTGTATTTTCAATAGTTCATGGGTGTACCCACTGAGCTAGGCTCTTGGGTTGATCTGATTTTTTTTTTTTTTTTTTTTTTTTTTTTGTAAAGCGTTTGTCTTTATTGCAAAATTCATAGTAAGGAGGCCGGGGGCTAGGTCCCACTCGCACGAATGAAGAGATACCGACCGTAGATAACAAAGATCAACGGCCCAAATCTCCTAATTTGCGCAAGTGGGACCTTGCCCCGGGGACCTCACAATTCAACCCGGAAGTTATCCTGGCAGCATTAGCCAGTTTAGCTTTCAGCTCTAATCGGATCCCTGTTGGGGCCAACTCCCCATTACAACCATCTGAAAACCGGGATCAGTGTCCCCTTCCTATAACTCCTGCTCTCCAAAAGAATAACCTTGAAGCTCATTAAAAGTAAGGGATTTCCCTTAGCAGTAGAAAACCACCTATCTGCCCTCACCCCTCTTGGCTGAAAACATGATCTGATTTTTTTTGTTCTGTCCTTTCTCCGATTTTGTTTGGTCGTCTCCCCTCGCTTTTGTCGTTTCCCGTCCGCTACCCCCGCTCGCGCACACCATCCTCGAGCAAACCGACACAACCTTATCTTTCTTTCTTCGCGTCTATCCACGTCATCATCTATTCAATTCAATTCCCGCTCGGTCGTTATTCCGTCTGTCGCCGTGTTCCCTTGGCCCGTCGGTTGGTCGTTCAGCGTGTGGTGGTCCCCTGCGCGGAGCTCCGTGGTGGCGGGTCGAGATTTGCGCGGGAGCCGAGGTCTCGGTGGCGGGTCGAGATTTGCGCGGGAGCCGAGGCGGCGCTGACGGTTCCCTCCCTCGCCGGCGCTGCGCACACTGGTAGAGATTTGGGCGGTAGTTGAGGCGGCGGGCCGGAGCGCGGGAAGGCGCAGGTAGAGAATTGGGCGGGAGCTGAGCCGGCGGCCGAGGGGTGCGAAGGCGGGAAAGCGGGTAATCGGGAAGCGAAAAAATGGCAATCACGACCCTTTGCGCGGCTTTGAAGTTGCCGGCCCCGGCGGCTGTGGGTTGTGCGCCATCCAAGGGTGGTCTTCCCTCGATTTCATCTCCCGCCGCCCACTTCGCTTCCTCCGCTGCTTCGGAGTCGTTCTCCTTGGCGGGAAGAATATCGTCACCGGCGCCGGCGGATTGCTTCCCGCGCTTGCGCCGACTGACCACCACCGCCTCCGGCGACCGAACAGTCATTCAATCTTTCAATTGCTCCCCCCGCACTTTGAATGGTGCACCGTCAGCAACGCGGTGTGTCCCCTGCAGTGCCGATAAAGGTAATATCGGGAAGAGGAGGACGTCCAGTTCGTTGGGGTCTAGCCCGACTACGAGGTTCGCGGTGTGGGGAGATGCGGAGAAGGCTCGTGTGAGATCCGATCAGCAGAGCAGTGGGAGTGGCAGGGGGGTTCTCTCTCACTGTAGGGGAGTCGAATCGAGGAGGAGGAGGAGGAGGTTGGTTGTGAGAGCTATGGCGTCCGACGGGAAAGTAACGGAGACTCAGGTCGAGGATAAGCTCGGCATTCGCGTGGAGCATAATCCGTCAGAAGAGAGGCTGAAGGAGATGGGAGTACGGCAGTGGCCGAAGTGGGGTTGCCCTCCTAGCAAATTTCCGTGGACTTACGACGCTAAAGAGACGTGTTACGTGCTCAAAGGAAAAGTGTACGTTACGCCGGAGGGACAGGAAGACAGCGTGGCCATAGGAGCTGGCGATCTCGTCGTCTTTCCCAAGGGAATGAGCTGTACTTGGGATGTTCAGGTCGCAGTCGACAAACATTACAACTTTGAGTAATAAGAAAGAACTGAACGAACAGCCTCTCGCTCTGTCCTTTTGTGCCACACACAACCTGCCTCTCTCTCCCTCTTCTCTCTCTCTCTCTCTCTCTTTCACACACACACACACACACACACAGACAGCACACACACAGACAGAGAGAGAAACAGGGAACCCCGCAATCAAGAGAGAGAGAGGGGAGAAGAGGGAGAGAGAGAGAGAGAGAGAGAGAGAGAGAGAGAGAGAGAGAGAGAGAGAGAGAGA